GTTCAGCAGCTCATCTTTCAGGGTTTTACCAAGTCTGTTGCCTGAGGAAGTGAACAGATAGCCTCCAGCCGTTTTTCTTGTTACTTTTCACAGGGAAGCATTTGGAAGCCTTTTATTCTAAAAATGCTCTTTGCTAATGTGGTTTGAGCCCTTGTCTAAAGACCATTGTTCAGCTCTTCCGCTTGCAATGTTGTAAAACATTGTGTGTTTCAGCATGAAGTATTTAAGAAAAAGAGGACCAAAGGACTGATCTGGAAGGACGGGTACACTAGGAACATCTAGAAGGACACATACACTAAGAACATCAGCGGCTTTCTGGAGTGAAGATAAATTCACAGGTTCACGCACAACACAGCACTAATGCTCAATTCAGAATTAAAGCTGAGTGCCTTCCCAGGGCCGATCGCCACCCACACGGGCAAGGACATCTTTCTTGGTTGATGTAGCACTGAGTGTTTTCCATCTGCCTTTATAAGAGGGAAATGTGCCAAGTATTGTCAAGGAACTTGAGTATCGTGTGTTTCTAGAACGTTGGACTGGAAACGTGAATAAAGCTTTTGGCTTCCAGTTTCTGTGTGCTTCTCTAAAAGTATCGGGACTGCAATTCCTGCGCTCTTCAGGGTAGCCAGCTAATGAGAAATGGACCTCACCGAAAACCGCTCTCCCGGGTCTAACGGCGTGTCCGGCCTTAGGTAAAGCCAAGCAGGAAACAGCATTCCCCCTCCAAATTTGACATTTAAAAGATGAATCCCTCCATGTTCTTTAGGATGAAGTAAAGACCTTTCTTCAAAACAAGGGGGAAGCGAGGCTCAACAGCCCACCTCTAAATAAGCAGTGGTGGTGGCTGAGCACATCCCCTGGGGCTGTAGGAGATTTCGGGGGTAATTTCTGCAAGTTAGTTTTTGGTGTTTTGGGGTTTTTTTTTTTTTTTTTTTTTGAGGCTCCCAGGTCCTTGGTTAATGTCCCAACCCCTGCTCTGGGGGACGCAGGAGCAACTGAGTGAACAAATTTGGAAGCAGCAGTGTCTCTTTTTCCAATGCCTCTTGACTATATTTGCACTTTAAGAGACTTCACCTTGGGTTTGGGTCAGGGGCTAGGATCCTGGCGAGCCTTTCAGAAACTGGTCTCTTTGGTCGTGAGCTGGTATGGGGAGTTTGACTCCTAGGTGGTATCTGCCAGAGGAGTGTTAAAAAGTCAAATTATGCTTTGTCACAAAATACTACATATGTGGAGAATTCAATGTTGTGGCTGTTACCAATAAATATTTTGTAGAGAGATCACCGAGTGCTGTAAATTCTGCGTTTGTCCGGTGTGATACGACTTGCTGTTTTCTTGGAAGGGAATGGGAAAATCACGTGTCTTTTTAAAAGCCCCTTCGTTTTGGAAAATCAGAAGCTCTGTAGTGGAAATTGTGATGCTCTGAAGCTATCCCTACATAAATTGCTCGTTTTAAGAGGCTTTTCTTGCCTAGGAATGTATCAGGATAGGGAAGCGGACTTGTGACAGCTACTTGTTGAGGTATGGTGCCCTAGGTAGAGGGGTGTTCACAGAAGCCTGTGGTCTGGAAGAGCTGAGCCCTTTCTCAGCA